CATCGATAAGTGATGCATAATATTTAATTTGAAGTCTATTTAGTGTAATCGATAAGGGAGATAATCTAATACTGTAAATAAGTGCATAGATCCTTTATGTGACTTACACGAGATTAATATCAGTACGCACGAGCATTTGTATTAGGAAAATACATTCTTCATTATAAACTGTATTGCGATCTCCATAGGTGGAAGTGCCTGGTTTGATACTTCAGCCTACGTGGCAACCAAGCGAGTGTAATACCATAAGTAATTCGTATAATCGAATAACTATACGACTGTAGATTTTAAACTATTGAAAGCAGATATAAAATTGTATTTGCTATATAGTATAAAAAATATCTCTAATCATTAACATAATATATTTATAGCAATAATGTAAGTCTCTAAAAAATTTCAAGTAGATAAACTACCCAGTTATTCAAACCAATAATAATAGTTAATTTTATATTTCAAAAAAAAATAAACTTCATAGAAGATAACTCACCTAAGTATATTGTGCTTTATAAATAACAATCCTACTAGCTATTTAGAAATAAAATTTGTTCTAATATTTTAAAAAATTAATAGAATATTAACTTCAAATAGAAAACTTTCTCAAGTCATCGGTTGCTAGTTATTTAGTAAAGTCAAAATTAATCAATTTAAAAAAGTGCGATATTATAGCAATAGTAAATAGTATGATATTATGAAAATATAAAATTACAAGACAGAATTACAGTATAATTGTTGAAACCCTTAAATGGTGAGTCAGTCAGTCAGTTACTTCAAGATCCAAAAATGCACATAAATAATAAGAAGGCTAAGTCAATTACGACATGTTAGTATTTTCTCTTGGTTATGAATTTTTAACTTTCCATTATCAACAATTAGTAAACTTTCTTACATCCATTAAAACCACATCAACTATATTTTATTTTAAAATCATGATTTTATATTGGATCAAGTCTTTTTAAACTAAATAAATATATAAGTAATTTCACCACTATGCCATTTAAATTCTGAATTAATAATCGCAGTGTATAAAGGTTTACGAAACTCTACAGGTCAAATGAGTAACTCTTTGGATAATTATTTTAAGAAATGTCTACTAAAGGTTTTCAAAACCTTCACTTATAATAAAATATAATTATTACAGTACATGCAATTGCCTTAAGTCTGATTTTTTCCATATGTCCACTCTATCTTAAATATTCTATAATTTATATTGTATAAATGAACAAATACATCATAAGTATGGATGGGACACTGCGCAGGTGGAATATTTCGGAAGTTCGGAATATTTCGGAAATTAACAATTTTGGCCCGCATTAACAGTAAATTACCATAATGCAGGCCTATGCAGCTTGCGCAGTAGATTTAAAAAATCCTCATCCCTAATCATAAATGCGATAAGATTCCAAATTGATTATATGATTAACATAAACCAACTTTTAATTTATAACCCCAAATTGCAGTATTACTTTTTTTTTGGATTTTTTATATTTTTTACTGCCAGTAGGATTACTGCCAATACAACTACTGCATTTTTGGTGTCCCTCACCTCCTACGAATAATGCAATAAATGTACAGTGTTAGATAGTGATTCCAGAGATCATGGCATATACGTACCCTAGTGCATAATTAAATACTTACAATGGGCAGATATATATGCCTAAGAGATAGTTAGTAAGTAAATAATTTATCAGAACCTCTCCGTTTCCTGGGTTTAGAGCGCAATTATCTTATTTGATTAGTTTATGGTCACAGGTCCCGGGTAGATCTATAAAAATTAGACATGTGGTCAAGAGCTAGGCAATGCGTAATAGTCGATTACGTTTAGAACAAAAATTATCATCTGGGTATTTTTTTACTTGTCATTAGTAAATATGCAATGACATTATTTTAGTGAAATTTCGAAATTCCGCACCAACTGATCACAATTCCGATCTGGTATTCTAGAACCTTTATAGTCTACTAATCTGAAAATCATTGCGACTAATTTATGATCACAGGTAGAGATGCAGTAGAATCGTCCCAATGATAGTCATCACATGCGTCACATTGCCGTAACTATAGCAAAGTAATATAGTAAGTTACGGTTATAATGCCATAACTTACTATACTACTTACTATAGTTACGGCAAGTTACGGCAAGTTACGGCAAGTTACGGCAAGTTACGGCAAGTTACGGCAATGTGACGACCATCATTGGGACGATTCTACCGAATCACTAATCACAAGGTAACCCCGGGTAGATCTATAAAAATTAGACATGTGGTCAGAGTTAGGCAATGCGTAATAGTCGATTACGTCTAGAACAAAAGTTATCATCTGAGTATTTTTTTACTTGTCATTAGTGAATGTGCAATAACTTTATTTTAGTGAAATTTCGAAATTTCGCACCAACTGATCACAATTCCGATCTGGTATTCTAGAACCTCTATAGTTTACTAATCTGAAAATCATTGCGACTAGTTTATGATCACAGGTAGAGATGCAATAGAATCGTCCCAATGAAAGTCGTCACATGCGTCACATTGCTGTAACTATAGCAAAGTAATATAGTAAGTTACGGCTATAATGCCATAACTTACTATACTACTTACTATAGTTACGGCAAGTTACGGCAATGTGACGACCATCATTGGGACGATTCTACCACATCACTAATTACAGGTAGATCTATAAAAATTAGACATATGGTTAGAGTTAGGCAATACATAATAGTCGATTACATCTAGAACCAAAATTATCATCTGAGTATTTTTTTACTTGTCATTAGTGAATAACTTTATTTTAGTGAAATTTCGAAATTTCGCACCAACTGATCACAATTCCGATCTGGTAAATCTAGAACCTTTATAGTCTACCAATCTGAAAATCATTGATTTTAATACGAGTTTTAATACTAGTTTGAATATTAGAGTATGAGTGTATCGGAATATTTGGTTTTGATTTTATGTTACACCTGATTTTGATTAGATGTTGAAAATTTTTAATAAACTAGGAAATTCTTTGTTTGAAAGCAAGACCATAACACGTATGATATCACTAGATCATTAATTCACTAGATCAAACTGTATAGTAGCACAGGTTCAAACAAAACCGTAGTGTAAGTAGTTAACAATATTTATCTGCTACGTACGTACGTACGTACAGTGCGTATGTACCTGGTATGTACTGTACGTACATGGTTAATCATTTATAATGAACCCTTTTAAATCGTTATATGGTCAGAGCGTATGTTATAATAGATCCTTATTTAATATTAGGACAAGAGGAGATAGTTGATGAAATGGTTTTTTTTTAATTAAAAATTCATTGAAATCAAACGTGTGTGCGTGCGTGCGTACGTACATACGTACGTACGTATCTAACTTGATTTTCATATTCTGACCGAATTTGTGTTACCTTAATGTATGCTAAGAAGTTTACATAGAAAGTTTCTATAACATAAAAAAAGGTTTGTAATTACGTATCATAATTATACGTACGAACGTACAAATTGTATGAAGACCTATAAGGTTTTGTATAATCGGCAAATTTAATTTGAAACATGCGAGTTGTAGATACCGAAGCTGCAGGAGGTGTGTTGCTCAGATATATAACTAAGTATGATCATATAATACAGAGAATACTTATGGGTAGTTATATGCATGTAATATGCAAGTATGTACGTACGTACGTGCGTGCGTACGTAAATAAGCAAAGTAATAATGATCTACAATTAGATAAGATTACGTGAAATACTTAATATAATATTTGATGTAATGGCTTGGCAAACAGCTGCAAAAAAAAAAAATATATATATATTTTCGGAAAGTTCTCCGAGCTATACAACCAATTATAATAAAGAATAGTTTTTTTTTATAATATATCGACGTATGTGTTATGCATAAAAAATTATTTATTATTAAAAATTTCCGACAATATAATAAAAAAAAAAAAATTTCCGGTTTATACGTATTGTATTTGAACATCAATTATTAATTCATGTTCATGTGAAACTAATTTGCATTATTATGAAAAATCGCGTTGTTTTTTTGACAAACAGAATGACGTTGATGACAAATTAAAGTTCCTATAAGTCAGATTTTTTAATACAGATTAAAAACAATTATGACATATTACAGCATTGACAATACTTTTGTAAGCAATTAATTATATTATGAAATTTGAATATTTCTTGATCATTAATCTATTCTCATAATAATTTATTCTCATAATAATTTATTCTCATAATAATTTATTCTCATAATAATTTTATTCTTATAATAATTTATTCTCAATAATTTAGTCTCATAATAATTTATTCTTATAATAATTTTATTCTTATATTAATTTATTCTTATAATAATTTAGTCTCATAATAATTTTATTCTTAAAATAATTTATACAATTTATTCTCAATAATTTAGTGCAAAAGAGTAGTTACCGTAATTACCGTTACAAGTTTATGCAGTTTCTTTAATAAAGTTTAAATGTTTACAATACGTACATTATATAGTAATACAAAGTGAAATAAGGTAAATATTTTGGCTTCTAAAATAAACAAAACACCTCTAGTTTTAGGATTCTGATATAGAATTCTTTTGCATAGTAAATAGCAAACATTACATATATAGAAATGTCTTTTCGCTTGTGAAATGTTACATAATCTTTGTAATCAATTAAAATAAGCAAATCAGAAAATCCGAAAAAAAATTTTTTTTTATTCTATGCCTTTAAAAATTAATGTCCGTGATTTTAAGTTACATTATTGGTTAGTACCGATTATAACGTCATATGTATTATACCATTATAAATTAATTACATCTTTTACGAGTACGTACTAGAGTGACTAATATTATAGATCGCGTGTTAGATTCATATATTAGATATGTACTGTACGTACGTACGTATCGTCATACGTACGCAAAAATTATAATAAAACGGGATTCTTAATCTAGTGATAATTAGCGATTATAATTAGATTTGGTAATGATTAATGACTAGATCGGCAAGATTAAGATTAATGACTAGCTTTAATGACTGTGTGTATAGAATAATATACTGTACAAAATAAATATTAACTACTTTTAAATTTTATTATTTATTCTTATTATTAATAATTAATTGATTTCTTATTATCATTTAATATAATATCGCTAATTTTATCCTTAGTAGCCAAGACAATATAATGAACATCGCACTCTTGGTTTTCGATACGTTCTTTATCTATCTTAGCATATGTACTATCCCACTCTTCAACAGTGATACCTAAAATGTCAGGCATTACTATTCTGTGAGTTTCGGCCATTTTTATATTATTTAGTCTCCATATTTCACCAATTTTTCCACCCCAACTAATTTGAAATAATTAAAATGAGATAAAGATTTTAAAATTAATAAAGAATAAGAAAGAATAATAAAGAATAATAAGAATAATAAAGAATAATAAAGAATAATAAGAATAATAAAGAATTAAAAATATTTTAAACGAAAAAAAACAATAAAAATCAAACTTACTTTCCAAAAGGTATATGTTTATGTATACAATTTACATTTAGAAAACCCATTTCCTTAAGTTTTGGTTCAAGTTTTGTTATGAATCGAACGTCAATTCCTTTTTGTTTATAAAATGTGGTTTCTTTTGTAGAGCAAATTGATATGAAAAAATTGATATTAAAAAAAAGGAATTAATTAAAATGAAAATATATTTAAAATTTAAAATGAAATTAAAAAAAAAAAAAATTGATACATACGAGATTTTTCAACAAAAGCAGTGATAGTTTTGCCTGCTCTTAATGCTATTTTTTTATTAAATAAAATAAATAAATGAATAGGGTATAAAAAATGAATTAATAAATGATGAACCCAAGTATTTAATAACATAAATTTAAAATACCAGTATCATCATACTCACGAAGCACATCCCGATCTACACATTCAAAAACACCACCTGGCTTTAAAATCCTTTTTATTTCATTTAATACATGTATCCATTGATAATCTTTTAAGGCAAACATCATGTACCTCATAAAAACGTAGTCGAATTCTTCATCTTTAAATGGAAAACAATCGATTATATTGCATGTTTGAAAGTGGCAATTTTGAGGTTTTATGCTAGCTGGAAATGTTGAAGAAATATCTATTCCATATACATTTGCATCAGGAAATTCTTGAGCTATTTCGAAGCTAAATAATACAATGAAATAAAGTAGAAAAGAATTAGAAATTTTCATAATTCGTAAGTGCATTCATAAGTTTATAAGTGTTTAAAAGATAATTACCTCCAATGACCGGATCCACAACCAATATCCTAAAGAAATTATACGTATATATATATATATATTACTTTTTTTATATGAAAACTTGATTAAAATTGTAGATATACATACCAGAATTTTACTTCCGGGTTTTATAATTTCAGAAAGTGGAGCAGCATAATTACCACCAAAAGCATGTTTCATTGCAAAATGTTCCATTTGAATTCTGTCAGCTTCTTCCCAATCAGTAGGAAGCTTTATAATTTAAATAATTTCACAAGTTAAATAATTTTCATAATGATTATATTTCATAATACAAAACAGTTTAATTAATTAACATACAACATATGAAGATATTTCTTCTTCAAAATAAGGCCTTCCGCCTATATATTTAACGTGGGAACAAGTACTATCTGTTTGTGATGAATTGTCATCATTCACCGATGTACATATTGATAAATTATCGGTTTTATTACGACGATGTTTACGAGACGCGTTTCCCATATTAATTTTTTCAAAAAAATAATATATATATATATTCAAGATCCCACTCAAGAAATTGTAAAAGTCAAATATTTTAAAAGTTTAGAAATTTGGAAATTTAGAAATTTAGAAGTTTAGAAGTTTAGAAGTTTAGAAACTGGGAAGTAATTATTTTAAGATAAGTAAGATTCAAAGAATTGAAGATTATTGTTAAAAATACATAACGATTTAAAGTTTAAACCGATAACTTTTTTTTAAAAAAAATTTGAATACGAAAAATGATCGCTGAAAAAAAAAGGTGGAGGGAAATTTGATGATTTTTAAATTAATTTTTTTAGATGAGTAAAATTAATAATAGTGATAGTTCTTTATCTTACCATGCATATTAGTAAATTATCCAAACTTAATATGGTAATCGAATATCTACATTTGCACCAGTACTTGTAACTTTGCGTAATAAATTGTTAAAACTACAAACGCACTGACAAACACTTATTTGTACGATCACCGGATCGTCAAAAGATTTTATTTGTTCTACAATAATTAGCCGTTTCTACTTGGAAACTGTATACCGATATATAAATAATCGTTATACGCACAGTAAGAGACACAATAAGAGACACAATAAGATAAAGTAATACATACAGTAAAATAAAATAAGATACAGCAAGATGCAGTAAGATACAGCAAGATACAGTAAGGCTATGTACTGTACTATACTGTGGCAACAAAATATTCTACTCCGAGCAGTATAATTCTTAGAATCTTGGCTTGATACATTTACGGTATGATGCGTTTTAATTCTTACCTAATAAACAAATATACTTAACCTGATTTGTAATTTTGTGAGCATGCCCCCGTAACTTTATTGATTTAATTTTCATTTTTGGAATAACTTGGTGCATAAATATTTAAAGGTTACACATTTTTTAAAAAGTGATTATATAAACTAATGAAACAAAAAAAAAAAATTTATTTTTTTGTTTTAGGTAATAAAACTTGTAATAAACTTGTAAGAATTTGTTTCGTAAAAAAATTATTAAACAATAAATTTTGTATTTATTAATTGTTTTTATATTTTTATGATTGCATAACTTACCATTACTGAATGTATGTAGCGTATCTAATGTATGTAAGATAATTTTAAATAAATAAATAAATAAATCAAATTTATTAAATGTTAATGAAATGTTAGTGAAATGTTAATAAAATGTTAGTGAAATGTTAATAAAATGTTAGTGAAATGTTAATAAAATGTTAGTGAAATGTTAATAAAATGTTAATAAGTTTTACATTGTAAGTAGGTTATACTGTAAGTAGTAATTATTTTCATACATTATAACTTATAAAGAATATACGTACACGTATGTATGTACGCACATTAGTCACATTAGTCACATTAGTCACATTTGAGAATTATGTACGCACAGTAGTGGGAATTACGTACGCAAATTAGTGCGATTCTCTCAAACCCTACGTAATACATGATTAAAAATGTTAATTTACAAAAACAAAAAAAAATATCGTATGATTTTTAACAGAAGCTTAATGAAGGTTAATGCAAAGTATATCAGATAGCATATACTTTAACGAAAATTAATCTAGTCAAAAATTAGTTATAAAGTCATGGTCTATTTATCGATGTTAAAATTGAAATCTGAATCATGAATCTATGAACTTAACAAGAAAAAAATTTTTTTTCTCAACTTAATCATAATCATAATAATAATAATAATAATAATAATAAATTAATATAAATTATATTTAAATTTGTTATACATGATACTTAGGATAATGTTTAGTATAATGCTTACAGTAGTATATATAGTGCATTAAATATTCGATTAAAAGATTTTACTATTCGGTTAAAAGTAAGTATGTAAAAAAAGTGGTAAGGACCCTGGTCGGAAAAAAAAGGAATGTGGGGTAAAAATCTCAACAAAAAAAAAAAAAAAAAAAAAAAAATTATCCTTACTATTCCTGTTAATTTGGCGTTCGTACACTGATTTTTTTGCACTAGTCGTTTTTAATAAAGTTGTATTAGCACTTAGTAACCTAATTAGGTAATAGAACCGTTGTATGTCAGGAGCAAAAAAAGAAACTTTGGGACAGGTTTTATGTTTATATAACTTGCCATGTGGAAATTTACAAATATGCAAACGCTTTTTGATAATCATTTTATAAAATATCAAAAATTGTAACATTTTTGAAAAATCAGTATTTTAAGTTAATTATTTTCTGCGTATCATTACCGTTACAGTAACAGTATCATTATTTTTTATTTTATAGGTACGGTACAAGTTACCTTTGTTGCCGGCACTAAATTTTATTTAGCAGATCATGATAAAAAATGGTTATGCCGTATGCTTGTCGGTTATCCTTATCCAGATATCCGATTCCACCAGTTAGTGATTATATGAAATAGTATGTAATGATTACGTAAAATTTTACATGAAAATCTTCTAGAAAATCTTGTATGTATGTACGTAAGTACATAAAGATATCAGATATCGGTATCGATATATAGGATTAAAATTTTCGGATTGGTTGGAAATTTAACGTTATTTGTTGATCTTTTACATGTTTATTTTTGTACCTCTGATTAGACTGACTAAACTAACAAACCAACAAACTAAACGGACTAAACTAACAAACCAACAAACTAAACGGACTAAACTGACTAAACGATTAAATTAACACAATATTTGTTTACATTAAATATATTATCGTTACTGTATTGTCCATTATGTTTCATTATAGTTCATTATCCGTAGTTCATACGTACGTATGTACACAATAACGTTTTGTTGACTACGTAACCCATATCTTATTATTTCCAAATACGTACCTATTTTACTCCTTTTTTTCATGAGTAAAAATCCACACAAATCTTTCTTCATTTACTAAAATTGGTTATTTTATTTCTATTTTGTTTAGCCTGTTTGATATTAATATTCCTTTTTAAACGTGATCAAATAAGTTGATTAAATTTTTGTTAAATTTTTGATTTTACAATGGCGATGTGTAATTTCTCCCACGGTTTCTATTAGTCCTTACCATAATTGTGTAATTTTGTTAATATGAATACGTATTAATATAGTATACGATACGTATTATATATCAAATTCTGTCAACCCGTAAAAAAAAAAATTTCATAACCAATTCTCGAAATTCTTGAAAATGAGCATTATGTGTAAAAATAAAAAAGATTATTTCTGCTCAACATTTTTTAGAGACGTAATTGATGATTTTAAACAATTATATGAAACTAAAGAAGGTTACGATGCAATTATCATTGCTGGAGAAGATCCAAATATTAAAGAATTTCATGTTCATTCTTTAATTCTTCGTGCCAGATCTTCTTATTTTCGTAGTGCTTTCTCTGTTAATTGGGCTGAAAGAAACAAAGATGGTTATTTAGTTTTAAAAAAACCTAATATTAGTGCTTTAACCATAGAAATAATTCTAAAGTAAGTAAATAATAATAATTCATACTGTAATCAATAGCAATCCCAATTCAACTAATTCTATGTTGTTAAAATTTAGGTATCTTTATTATGGAATAGTAGACTTTAAACGTCAAAAAAAAGAAATAATCCTTGAACTTTTAGTTGCCGCTGATGAACTTGGAATTCAAAGACTTATTGATTCTGTTCAAGAATTCTTGGCTCAAAATTGTCTCAAATTTTTACAATCAGATCTCATTAAAATGCTTCACTTTATTACTTGTCATAACTCATTCGATAATCTTAAAAAAGCTTCTTTAATTACCTTAACTAAACATTACAAAGAATTTTTACGTCAAGATCCCGTTAAATTACTTCATTTTATTATTCGTCATGAATCATTTAATGATCTTAGAAAAGCTTCTTTAGATACTATTTGTGAAAATCCAAACTTGATATTTAATTCAGACAAATTTCTTCCATTAGAAAAAGATGTATTAGCTTTGATTCTTAATCGTGATGATCTTGATATGAAAGAAAGTGATATCTGGAAACGATTAATTAAATGGGGAATCGCTCAACATCCATCACTTCAAATTAATGTGAAAAAATTTACTTCACAAGATTTTAAAACATTAGAAAAAACTTTACAAGGATTAATTCAACTGGTTAGATTTCATCAGATAAATCGTGAAGAGTTCATGCTTGAAGTATGGCCATTTAAGAACCTCCTTCCTGATGATTTAATCGAGGATATATTACGTTGTTATTTAGTTTCAGGTGCTGTACCACACTATCAACCATTTAAAGTCAGATTGGGCAACTCAGAAGTCGACTCGGTTTTAATTAATAAAAGGATTGCTTTATTATTTACAACTTGGATAGATAAAAAAATCTCTGATGATAAAACTTCAAAGAAAATTCGTTATAATTTTAATCTTCTTTTTCGAAGTAGTAGAGATGGTCTTTCATCCTTTACATTTCATCAAAAATGTGATAACAAAGGTGCAACAATCGTTGTGGGAAACATTTTAAATACGAAAATATTAGTTGGTGGTTATAATCCACTTGATTGGAATAATTCTAATAATTCAAGTAATTCATTTGGTTGGCATTATAAAAATGCACCAGATAGCTTTTTATTTGTAATTAATGATCCTAATAATCTTAAAAATTCAACATTAGGACGTGTTAATATAAGTAATCGTGCAATTTTTTGCAATAATAATTGTGGTCCAACCTTCGGTGGTGGTCACGATTTATACGTTCCAGATAGTAGTAATAATTGGAGTTATTCTGCAAATTCTTATCCTAACATTGGAATTCCAAATTCATTTACAATTTCAGATTATGAAGTATTTCAAGTAATTAAGAATTAAATTTCTATAGCTTCTATAGCTTCTATAGGTGTCATAGGTGATATATCGTTTTTTAAGCATAATGTATAACTAATACTGTAATAAAGTATATAACTAATGTTGTGTTACTTGAATTTCCATTGTATATATAAATTAATTTTTCATTATTTTTGCATTACTCACTGACCCACTGACTCCAATTTTAATAGTAATTTATTTTAGACAATTATAATTTTAATAATTTTGATATATACGGTCAGACCCTTCTAGATGCAATCCCCTAAATGCACGTCCCCCTAATGCACGTCTTTCGCTTGAATCCAACTAATACAATGAATTTTTACCTCCCTAAATGTAATACTTTTCTAAATGCACGTTTGACTAAAATTTACATATGGCCCCGCCGCAATGCATCTGACTGTATAATTTTGTTAAAAAAGTAATATTTATCTAATCCAAAAATATAATATAGATAAAATAAATAAAAATCTAGAATCATAGTACGTAAGTATATAATATCTGACCAAACAAAATGTTTTTTCAGAATTAAAAAAAAAAAAATTATGACCGCACGAAAATTCATAGATTATAGATGATAGACCTTACTACAGTATTAAATTAGGTTAAAAAAATTCGACAGTGCCAAGAATTTGGATCAGGTAATGTAGAACAAAAATCAACTTTATATGAACTAAAAAGATACATCTTAATACATAATAAATTCTCGGATTTTATCTTTTATTGACCATACTAATAATGCACATGTATAGAAACGGAATTCATAAAGAAGGTTAGCATACTTCAAATCTTTCTTTTTTCATTATTTATTGTTCAGAATAAAGTGAAACAGGGCATTTCTACCCGGGTATTATTAAATTATCTAGTTATCCGGGTAATTTATTATACCCATACGGCATAATAAAAAATATCTACCCGAGTACGATCTATATGGGGTGGATCAGGAGTGCATCATAGTACGAATAAGATTAAGCGCATAATCAAGTGATCGAGTGCGTGATCAGTGCGTGATCAGGTGCGTGATCAGGTGCGTGATTAATGATAAAGACTAATACTAATACAGTAACGATACTAATACAGTAACGATACTAATACAGTAACGATACTAATACAGTAACGATACTAATACAGTAACGATACTAATA